GATAAGATTAGCTAAGGGTTTGTCGATTTTATTTATTCTTTCAAAAAACCAGCTCTTTGTTTCATTTATTTTTTGTATCATTTTTTTAGTTTCCATTGCATTGATTTCTGCTCTGATCTTTATAATTTCCTCTCTTGTTCGAGCTTTGGGTTTTTCTTGCTATTGTTTTTCTAGGTGTCTAAGAGTCATCATTTGGTTGTTTATTTGAGCCCGCTCTGTTTTCCTAGTGTGGGCATTCAATGTTATGAATTTTCCCCATAGAATTGCTTTCATTGTGTTCCATAGATTCCTGTATGTTGTAATGGCATTTTCACTTATTTGTAAAAATGGTCTAATTTCTTCTTTAATTTCTTCTGTAATCCATTGATTGTTTAGGAGAGTGTTATTCAGTTTCCATGTGCTTGTGAAGTTCCTATAGTTTCTTATGCTATTGATCTCCAGCTTGATTGCACTATGATCTGATAATATACAGGGGATGACTTCAACTCTTTTGCATTTATTCGGACCTGTTCTGTAAGCCATTATGTGGTCTATCTTGGAGAATGATCCATGTGCAGCCTAAAAGAATGTATATTCTGATTTTGTGGAGTGGAATACTCTGTAGACATCTATTAAGTCCATGTGTTCCAAAGCTTGGTTCAGTTCTATTATTTCGTTGTTGATTTTCTGCCTAGATATCTGTCAATTTGTGATAGTGGGGTATTTAAATCCCCCACTAGAATTGTATTAGTGTTTATTTGGTTTTTCATTTTACTTAACATTTGTTTTATATAGTTGGGGACATTTATATTTGGTGCATATATGTTTATGGTTGTCATCTCTTGCTCTTGAATTGTTTCCTTTACAAGGATGTAGTGGTCTTCTTTGTCTCTTTCAATCAGTTTTGGTTTGAAATTTACTTTGTCTGAGAATAACATTGCTACCCCTGCTTTTTTCTAGGCTCCTGTTGCATGAAGAAGTTTTCCATCCTTTCACTTTCAGTCTATGGGCTTCTTTTTGCACTAGGTGTGTCTTGTGTACAACATTTTATTTGATTTTTCTTCTTAATCCATTCTGCCGGTCTATTTCTCTTGATTGGTGAATTGAGGCCATTGATATTGATGGTTATAACTGATATGTACTAACTTATTATTGTCATGTTTTTTCACTTTCTCCTTTTAGTTTCTTATCTTGCCTATTTGATTTGCTCTGTTGGGTCTCATTGTGTTGTTACCTTCATTGTCTTTTTCTAGGATATTGTTTAGAATTCCTTGTAGTGCTGCTTCAGTGTTCATGAAGTTTCTTAGGTGTTCTTTGTCATGGAAGTATCTTATTTCCCCATCTACTTTGAAAGAGAGTTTTGCAGGATACATCAGTCTAGGTTGGAGGTTGTTTTCTTTTAAGACTTGAAATACCTCACTCCAGGCTCTCCTTGATCTGAGGGTTTGTGTTGAAAAGTCTTCTGTGATTCTGATGGGCTTTCCTTTGCATGTGATTTGTTCCTTTTCTCTTACTGCTTGTAGTATTTTGCTCTTCTGTTGGATTTCTGGGATCTTGATTATTATATGTCTAGGTATAGATTTTTTTTTTATCATGGCTAATTGGAGTTCTATATGCCTCACTTTTCTGTGTGTCTAGTTCTTCCCTTCTTTTGGGGAAGTTTTCTATAATTAATTCTGCCAAGAGTTTTTAAAGTCATTCTTGTTTTCTCATGCTGTTTCATGGATTCCTATCAGTCTTATGTTATTTTTCTTTGCATCATCTAGAAGTTGTTGGATCAATTTCTCTTGGTCCCTTACTGTGGTTGTAGTCATTAATCTATCACCTTTAAACCATGTGAATTAAATTAATATCAAGAAACAGCCCAAAACATGCCTGCAGTGAACACACTTTTCAATATAGCACCTTTACCATTTAGGATGGGGTCTTAGACTGAGTTAGGATGAGAGGAGTATATAAGTGAAAGAATCGGAGAAGGTTTCAAGTGAAGCCAGAGTACATAGAATGACCATATTATCTTTATGAAACTAGTAACTTCAAAGGGGATAAACAGAATGCAGGAATAAGGAGAAGAATATATCCCCTTAAGAGCAACAGGGGCTCACCTTCCCTTGAAGCTATGGAGTCATGAGTGAGGTAAAATGACAGGAGAAAAGAACATACAGAAAAAAAGAAAAAATAGTAAAAGAAGTCTGAGTTAGGAAGGAGCAGGCAGAAAAAGGGAGATGAGGGTTAATATGATGGAGCAAGAGACTGAGTTGGAGAGAGAGGACAGAAAAAAGAAAGAAATTGTAGGGTGGAATGAGGAAAAGAAAATTAAAAAAATAGAAAAGACTTTGAAGGGCCTCTTTCAGACTATGTCTCTGTTGTCATATTATACCACTTGTACAGCCATGTGCAGAACCAAATCCCCTGATCTCAGCTAGCCAATGGCAGGTCTCCGTGACACAGACTGACCTCAGTCCACAAGGCCTAAAGTAAGTTTCCTAACCCACAGGGTTGAACTCCACTCAGTTCTATGACAGATTTCTCCTGCCCTTTCTTTAAAGATGTTCAAAGTTGGGAGCTCAGAAAAATACCCTTCATGACTACCTATGCCTCTGCAGAGTGGGTCCAAGGATTGGCCCAATCAGGAGGCTTGAGAAAGGGGGGGGCGGGGGAGCAGGTCGTGGGGGTGTTTCAAGGCCTCCCGCTTGGCTACCTTCCTTACTGGATCTGGTGACGTGCAGTCAGGGAGGTCGCAGACCCACTGGGTGGGCCCGAGCAGGTGGCCAGAGAGACTTCCTCCCGGGGCCTCCTTCCTAACTGTGAACTTCTTATGTTTCTTATCTTTTAGCCCCTGGTACATAACATTTGCTTAATGGATGTTTGTGGAATAAATGGACAGGAAAACCACTACATTTTACCAGTGATCCTTACTCCCTAATACTGCTTCAGCTGATCCTAGTTTTTCAGATGAATCTTGTGCACTTTTGCTGAAAACTAGAAATGAAGAGGGTGGGTGAAGGGACTGCTTTTGCAGCCAGGTGTGTATCTAGGTTCTGTGCAGCACTCAGCAGTGAGGAGGGACTGCTACCCCTTCAACAAGAACTGCAGTGGTTGGGCTGGGGATGTAGCTCAGTGGTGTCACACCTATCTGGCAAGTGCAAGGTCCTGAGTTTGATTCCTGATACTGGAACAAAATCTCTCATGACCTCGTTAATTTTTACTTTTCTATGTCAAATCCAAGAAAAGTCAATAACAGGGGCAAAACATTCTTTGTTTTTAAGTGAAATTTATTTCAGAGCTATTCAGAACAGTGTGATAATACTTCTTTGATTCATCAATATTCCCACTTACATAATCTGAACTTACTATTTTCAGTCTTAATGAAAACTTGATGCAAACAGAGTACCAGTCAAAATTATATTCATTCCATAAATATTAAAGACTAGCGTTCTTTCACAGGCACTGCTGCCCCTTGTCCCCCTTGAATTAAACCAACCAATAAATAAATAAATAAATAGGAAAGTGGTTGCTCATTAGGAGCTGGGAGTGAAGAATAGAGGGAGACTTTGAATAGAATGCACCAGGCTTTCCACTAGGCTTGCTTGGAGGAAGCAGGAGAGGTGAGAGGAGGAGGAGAGAGCATTTGCCCCAGCTGGTGGCAAGAGGACTTCTTAGCATGCACTTAAGAAAGACAGCTGGTGTCAGTGGGTAACAGTCAAATCCAGCCTTCAGTTGTGCTCAAACCCTCTTATTCCAGGCCTGAGGGTCAAGGCTACATTCACCAGATGTTGACCCACTGGGTGTGGTGCTCCTTAGGAAGACACGAATTCCAAGTGGAAGTCAGTTATGTCCTGGCCACCATGGTTATTTCCCAGGAAGACAGGCATGTGTTCTGTTTGAGAGGTACTGATGTACCAGTTGGGGAACTGAGCAGACTCAAATTCTACTGTGCTTTTGCTCTCTATCTTGTTGAAGATGAATCGCTTTTCCATCTTCTTCTTTGGGTACTGTTTAGGGTCTACACTCTGCAGCAAAATAGAAATAAGAATTTTCATGAGGGAAGGAGTAAAGATTACAGTAGAGATAATGTAGGGGCTGGCTAGAGAGGAAACTGATGGGAAGGTTGTGGGACCAGGGAATGGCCTCCCATGTTGTCTTTGGGACCCCACATAGTCACTGAAGAGCCCTGTGTCTTTTCTGAGTCTGAGGACCAATATTGGGGAACAGCATATAAGTACAAATTAAAAGAAAAGTAAAAATTAGGCTAAAGCTTCTAGGTGTACCTCATTTTCAGGTACTTTTGCTGTAGTTTTTCTATGATCCTAGTTAGAATGACATCAATATGACAATGAAGGTTTTGCTAGGAAAGCTGCAGGTGATGGTGATGGGATTTTGGAAGTGGAGTGGAGATTAATGACAGGTTCCTCTAACTGATTAATTACTTAAATTGTCAATAAAACAAGAGAACCCCTAAAGGTATATCCTTGTAGCCTTAACATTGCATGCTCTATTGGGGTGGAACAATGGCAGAACATGACTACAGTGGTGAAATGATTAAATTTTCTTTTTTTTTTTTTTGTTACCCGGGATTGAACTTAAATTTTCTGTAGTAGGAGTGAAATTTGCACGGACTTCAAAATTATGTTAAATCCATTTTACATTTATGCAAAACTGCAAAGCAGACCTGCTCTCAGATTTTCCAGGAGTGCAGGAGGGGAGCACCAGGTAGTTGTTGGGGAAGTAAGTGATGACTGAGTTTGCTTCAGCGGAGGCTGAGAAGGGTCTCCTTCTTGGTATTCACTTACCTCCAGCTGCAGGACAGGTTTATCATCTTTCATCACACAGGACAGGTACAGATTCTTTCCCTTGAGGCCCAAGGCAACAGGGATTTTGTCATCTCTTCTTTCTCCTTGTACAAAGCTCATGGAGAACACCACTGGAGAAAGAAGAGGAATCTTGTGGTCAGGGACACAGCATTGTCAGGTGAGCAGAACCACTGGACTCCACTACAGTACTCAGACAATTTTAGCATCCCGCATGAGAAATCACAGTGAATGCCGTTTGGCCTCACAGATAGGGTAAATGGCTTTTTATGGATAATAGCTGAGTTAGTTGGTTGATCAATGCAGGAGGCCAGGAAAGAGTTAAAAGCTGTGTTTCCAAAAGAAATGAGGCACCAGAGATGTTTCAGCAATATGGCAGCAAATGGGAAAGAACTGGGAGAGGAGTGGTGTGGCTGGGAAAAGTGGTTCCAAAAAAGAGACACTTATTTTGACCTTTCATGATTGTAGCAGTCTCATTTGGAGGCCCAGGGCCACTCTCAGTACTCAGTTTGAAAGAAATAGTATTATCCTTGCCTGGCTAGGAGTAGGAATATTTGATCCAAAGGATGTTGCCCATCAAGGTTGGCAGCTTTAGGGGAGAACATGTTGCTGTTGTGAGCAACTCTCTTACTCAGCCACAGTGGCACAATGCCAGGGCCAGCCCTACAGCTAATGGTAGTCTTATCACATTTGAAACATGTACCAGTTACAGCAGAGAGATATAGTTCCTGATGGTTAATAAATTTCTCTGCAAGAAACCATGTGGTGTTGGGCAGGAAGCGTGTTAGGGTTGGGAGTAGGGATGGACCCATTATCTTTACACAGTTTTCATTTTCAGCCTCAACAACAGGAAAAAAGAATCCACAGGCTGTTAGGGCATATCCTTCAAATGACCCCAAACCATCCCTATGTGACTTGGAGGACAATGGTCTTGGGAGTGCTTGAGCAGCTTAATTCTCCCAGTCATTCTTCTGTTAACAAGTGAACATACCAAAACATTCAAAAGAATACAATGGGCCAAAAAGATATGTTCATATCCTCTTATTTATGTTTATTTTCATTTCTATTAATGATTTGCTTTAGTGGTTTCTTTGTTCATTTTTTTTTTTTTTAGCCAGGGATCAAACTCAGGTCCTTGCGCTTGTGGGGCAGGCAGTGGGACCACTGAGCTAAATCCTCAGCCCTCTTTGTTCAAAACATACAGTATTAGCAAGCTGTCTGGAGGCCAGGAAGGGAAATCAAACTGTGCCCAGTTACCTTGTCGGTTCAGATTATCTCCATTGAGATGAAGAGCTTTCAGTTCACATGGGTCAGACAACACAAAGTGTTTATGTTGTGCATCATGGAGTCTGCAGTTCCGTGTTAGGACGGGTGCATCACACTCATACTTGTCATCCCACGTGTCATAGATGATGGGTTCTGGAATTTGGAACACACATGTTATAAGGGCAGAAAATCAGAAGAGCAAGCCCAGTGATACAAATAAAGCGGGAGAGTTGGGTTTCTTGGAGGACGTTGGAATATGTATAGTCAAAGTTGAATTCACACATTAGTGGGGAGAAAGTTTGGAGTTGAGTGGGCAAGAACACTGGATCTGGCACTGTGAGAACCACGTGCAAGCTTCACCACTATTATTACTCACCATGGACTTGCAATTGAGGTACTTACTGTATAACTCTAGCCCAACAAGAAAGTGGTGAGATTAAATAAAGTCTAAAAATAAGTGAATTGCACATGTAAGTAGTTATCTTTAAGAATAGTTTTAGCCAACGAGATGGTTGACTTGTTTTTTTGGCTTCCTTATTTTTTTACCACTAGGCTTTCTACCTTTAAAGGGCTTCAAAAGGAGGGTGGATGGTTGTTGAGTGACAGACTGAGAAGTACCTGAATAAATATCTAACATCTACTCAGCTTTGATTAAGTACCTTCTTCAAAGATGAAGGGAAAGAAGGTTTTCAGGTCATTATCCTGGAAAGTCCATGGGCAAGGAACCAGTTCCTTCCTCAGCTTTTTTACAGCCACGATGAGTGACACCACCTGCCGGAAACTCTTGTTGAAGTGCTGATGGGAGATTTGCAGCTCGATCCCCTCATCCAGAGAGCAAAGGTCCAGGTCTTGGAAGCAATACTGTAGAGAAACCAAGGCAATGAGCATATTAGGATGGTCAGGCCAGCAAGCTGCAGCATGGACATCAGAGAGCAAGAAGGGCTCTTAGCCACAATGGGGCTTTTAAAGATATTCTGTGTCCCAGAAGCCCAGAGATGTTAAGTGGCTTACCAAGGACATCTAGCAACCAGAATGTGGGCTTCTTAACATCCTATATGCTATTTTAGAACATATCCTATTTCCCCATTATCTATCTTACACATGCCACACATCATCATGTACTTATACCTTCTTAACTCTATGTCTTTTTTATCTCTATAGCTTTAACATTATGCATTTAATTTTTATGACAATAGCGATCACAACACTTTCTACTCATCTATGCTCACTGAATAAATTCTCAGTTGTTCTACATGTCCTTTTCTTACGGACATTCTGCAAATACTGTATGCAAATACTTTATGGTTACTATTTGTGAAATATAGTTACTTTCTTGTTAGAAACTCTATGAGTAGGTCTCAATAAAGTTGCCTTGGGAATGATGGTTATTCCAAAGTTCAAAGAATGGTCACAGAGACCTAGAAGCACAGAGAAAAGTTGAGCAGGAGAGAAGTCCTTGTCCAGAGTGGAGGGTCCTGATGAGAGCCAGACCCAGGAGGAGATAGTGGGAACCAAAGGCAATTAATCAGTTAACTGGTCTTAAAAATAAATATGCTTTTAATAAGACAGAGGACTGTCACAAGGATAAGGGAGGCTGTAATGAACTAAAAAAATAGAGAAAAGTAGATGTCTTTTTATCCATAAAACCAACTCAGCTGAGTTATAACTTTCCACCTAGGAATGTTATCAGGCATCCTAACAAAAAGAAAGGACAGCTGGAATGTCACCATGGATTTTCGTAGGGATAAGAGTCTGAAAAATGCCCATGTTTTAGGATAGACTTAGCTACCTCTGAAAATATTTCAGAACTGAAGATTGTAGTATGCTAAGATCTCAAAGATTATTTATTTAGTTCGTACTCTGTGTTTTTCAAACGAAGGCCAAATGACTTGTTGAACATCAAACATCAAGTGAATAGTTTTCTTGCAGCTCCCAATTCATCTTTTGGCTTAATTCATTTATATTTTGTCATAAGTTCCATCCAAGGGAACAAAAAAACTATTCCACCTGAAGAGGGGGTAGACATATATCAATTCTCAAGGTCAGCCTTTCTGGGTTGCAGAGTTTGGCTTAGGTGATTGAAGTAGGCTGAACCCATCTTCTAATAGGAAGATCAAATTTGTGCTGAAGACTTGGCTGTCTTCTTAGTACATGGCAGCATGGTCAAGCCTTTGCCACTGACTATGGTGCAGTGGGAGGTGCATGGTGGCCAGAAGCATGGGGTGCAGCCTACATCTTTCTCATCTGTAGAGGAGAAAGTCACTACACATAGACCACCCCTGGGAACGACACAGTCCAGAACATCTTTCTTTGAGATTTCCTGTGTCAGACACCTTCTATGGATGGGGAATAAAGCCCAGACAGAGTCTCACCTGTTGTTTGGGGCCGTCGATTTCAAAGAACATTTCATTCTCATCACTGTAATGAAAACAGACATAGCTCAATGATATCTCCTAAGCAGGTTTGTCTTTCCTTCTATACATGAGTCTTCACCATTTGTAAAACTGTAAATAGTATTCTAGAAAGTTCCATGGTGATACACAAAGAATAATCTAGAGAACAGATTCTGACTAGACAAGCAGCATCCCTGGTGCTCTGTGTTGGACCCTGTGACCTAAACCCTAGGCCCACAGACTCTGCTAAAATCTGAGCTCTTTTTTTTCTCAAGTCAAACTTTGCATAGGGGTCCCTGGGATCATCTTCTTGGAGTTTTCTATTCCCTTGTCATCTACAGGAAGGCTTCACAGCAACATCTGGATGGTCTCTAGGTCCCAAGGTTAGACTTAAAGTAGGGAGTGAGTCATTAAATAAGGTTAATTTGAACACTACTTGCCAATGAAAGAGGCAATTTGGGACAAATCTAACCTCTAAGACAGATAATCCTCCACTCTTCAAAGGGCAGCCCTGTGCACATTGCTAGTCCTGTCTCCCCACTGACCTGTGGTAAGCTGTCACTTCATCGCTGAATTCAGGAACTGCTGCCATAGCTGCCTCAGAGATCTGTGTAAAAGAAGAGAAAGTGAGTGACCACTTGCAGCACCCCTGCCCCTGAGGGCTGCCTTCATTTGTGAGTTTCCTTCAGCATCTGGTAAAATGAGATCTGAGAAAATGAGTGAATGCATGAAAGAGCCATCCTTTGGGTCTGGAGGAAAGCATTTTCAGAACCAAATCCAAACATATATTGCTAGGAGACTTGGAGCCAAGACTTGGACATTGATCTCTCAGAGTCATCTGCTAGATAAGCAGAATTCACTCCCAGCATATTTTATAAGAATAGCTTGCAATATACCTGGCATTTTTGTAAAAAGTCCAGTCCTCAAGCAGAGAGAGAAGGCATGAGGTAGGGGTGGAGGTGGGGAAGAGATCTTTAGAACCTAGTTGTAGGTAAGAGTTAAAAGTCATACTTGAGCAATGAAGACCCGCTGGAGAGAAGTTCAGATCAGCCTTCTGTGACTTGCAACCTGAAGGAAGAATGTTCTGCCAGTTTTTCCCTCACCGTTTTATGTTCCTCAAAAGCAGAAGTGAAGAGCTGAAAAATTTCCCCTTTGGTTAACTGATGTCACAACCAAGTAAAAGGCATGGAATGGAGGAAGGTGATTGGTGGGAAATTCTGGGGGAAGGGACTAATTCACTGGAACAACTCCCTAGTCCCTGGAAGAGCAAGGGGTAGCAAACTATGAAACATTTTGCAAATGTGGCATTATGCAAATAGGCGTTGTTTTTCTTATGGCCCCTGGGCAGATGACGTCAGTGTTAAAATTCTGGATTTTCTTGTGTTGGAAAAATGTTAATTTAGGTTCTGTGCAACAAGTGGGGGACACACAGATGTATGTGCACAAACACATTTCCTTGTATTTAAATGTAGGAACCTTTCCACTTGAAGGTGCATAAATGGGTTTAATGAAGTGACAACAGCTCTCCTTGTCTGAATAGAAAGTGCTGTTCTGTCAATTGCAGGAGCCTCTGGAGAGACACTTGGCCTCCTTCAGATGGAGCAGGATACACATTACATACAGAATACATGCTGCTGGCATGTCTGGGAGAATCCTACACACAAGCTCATGCAACCTCGCGTTTAATTTTAGCACAGTGCAATATGCCAAAAGCTTGAATGAAGTCTTACTGTGAAAAGGTGGTAAACAATTCATGTTCATGATCTCAATCACTTTTTAAAATGTAGTGGAGATGCTCTCTGCCTGAAATGATTTTGTAATGAATTCTTGGTTCTATAAGAAGATCAAGCAGGAAAATGCTGTCTGAGTTTAATGTGAAGCATTACCAGATTCTGTTTAACCCAGAGACCAGCAGAGTGCCTGACCCATGTGTACTGCCCCATGGTGGCTCATCATTAATAGAATAAATGAGCGACCAGATCGTAAATGGTGTGGGGATAAGAGCCCATCCTGGTTTATTGCACTCATTATAGCACTGAATTGAAACCTGGCTCATTTTTTTAGTTCCCCTGGGAGGCTGTGAACTCTTTTACTGCTAAGTTTAGCATAATGCCTAGCATGTGAATATAGGCAGGAAGGCTTTGCTACCTGAATGAGTGGGCAGGGATTGGACAGTGTTTTCATTTAAATAGTCAGGTGTCTACTATCTGCCAAGTACTGTGCTTGTCCTGCCTTATCCAAGTGACAGTGCCTTATCCTTGACTTTGACAGAGGAGAGTATTTGAGGTATGAATAAAATAGGCTTTACTTTGGCACAGGGATGGCTGCATGGACCTCCTTATCCTGCAGCTGTCTGATTCTCAGTTTGACTCCTAGTACCTGACATCAGGAAGGAAGACATAAGAATCCCATCTTTGGTAAGCTATATGTTCTGTTGGAAATCTAAAAGCTGTTCATTGCATCCCTTTCTTGGGAGTTTGATAATCAGTAACAAATTCTCAAAGCTAAGCCTTCATAAAATTAGGTGTCTAGTCCTACAGACACTGTAGATGCCCTGTCTGGCCTTGTGAACTCTTCGGTTTTCTGACCACAGCATTCACTCGAAAATTCATCACTCATTCCCATCCTCCATGGAGAGACTGATACCTTCCTCACATCCTATGAGCAGTGCTCAGCAGCCCCTCATGGTCTAATGGCCCTGTGGTTGTCATGATAGAATACAGTGATGTCTGTTAAGGTGATTAAAGGTGAGCAAAGGAAGATGAAAGACAGTGACAGGAAGGGAGGATGTATGCAAGGGACTTGGACATTGGCTCAGATTTAATCAATTCTGGAACTTGGAATATAGGTCAGGAGCCTTGAGTACTTGCACTGTGACATCTTCTAGCTGTAGAATTCCAGAGCTTCAGAATACGGCAGCTGAAAGGACCATTAGTGAGCCTGATAGGATCTAGTAGGATGAGGACAAATTGCTGTTTGAATGTGAATAGCAGATGAAGATAGAAGGCCGGAAGATGTGAAGTGATTTCTCCAATGTTACAGTGCAGCTGGAGTGATGAATGAATTCTATCTGCCTGGGGGAAATTTTGGAACCATGAGGCAATGCCCTTTGACGTAACAGTCTCAGCAGTTCTGTCGTGTCTGATCCTGCCCCTGAGGTCTGGACCTCAAGCTATCTACCATCCTGCCCATCTCAGGAAGTAAAACCTCATCTTGTACCAAACAGGCAGATTGCACAATCAAGCCCTGTCTCTCCCAGAAGACAGCTCAAGCCACAGTACTTCCTTCCAGTCCCCAGAGAGTTGAAAACAACTCACTACAGAAATAGTCTAAGCTTGGAGAGTGCAAGAGTGATGGTGATGTAAACAACAACGTAGACCTAAGGAAACAGCGCAAGCAGAAGTGGGGAGTTGGCAATGACAGGATGTGAGGAGCTCCAGCTTTTGGGAAATTTTCAGCTCTTGAGTCACTGAAGCCCTTTTTAGCTGTAAATTTCCCTCTGTCCTGCCATGTTGTTCCACCAAGAGAGGATGCAGGCATTTATTCTAAAAGTAGATGCCTTGGTACCATTTTACGTCTGATCTTGGGCTTCATAGCCTGTTATCAAGGTTGGTCACCAGATCGGTCTTCAATCATTCTGTACAAGAAACAAGAGAAACAATCATGTGTAGATTCTTAAAATATCATGTGTACACATAGTGATACCTGTTGTCTACAGTGGGCCATTTCTCTTTGTTCACTCTTTTGTGGTTAATCTTGTCAGCTTGATTGGCTTGAGAGATGCCCAAGAGATTAGTAAAGCACACTTCTAGGTGTGTCTGGGTGGATTATAGGGGCATGATCTTTGGGGACTATATCTTGTTCAAGGCCTCTTCCTGTCTGGCTCTTTCCTGCTCTCTGCTTTCTGGATGGTATAAGTTCAGCATCTTTTCTCCACCAAACCCTTGCATCATGATGTTTCTGCATTGTAGACCAACAATCATGGACTGAAGCCTTTGAAACCATGACAAAAATAAACCTTTTCTCCTTTAAATTGTGTATGTCATGTATTTTGTCTTAGCAAAAGAAAGCTGACTAATGTAGCTCTCTTGCTTAGAATAGAGCTAAGCAGTGATTGTTTCCACAATTTTGCCCAAATCTCATTTCATTCTTGGAGTTGATTTTCTAACATTATTGTTCTTAGGAGTCTGTCATTTTCCTCCCATCATTTTCATGGGCCCTTCTGCTGTCTAAATGTGTCAACAATGTCTTATGTACCACATCTACCTCTGTAAACACTTCTCTTTGCTTCTTTCAGTTTTTGTGCTTGAGCAATATGATTTTCAGCTTCAAAATCTCTGTATTTCTTTCCCTGGCATCATCTCCAGTGGGCCTGTCACCCTCTCAGACCCAGGTACTCAGAGTGGGGAGAGATAGATTGCAAGGGCCATCCCATTCTCTTCTGTGGTTTAAAATAAGGAGGACTTAAATAAGTGAGTAGGTGGTTGGGCCTGGTGAAGTCTATAGTCTCCAGTGGCTGAATTGTTATTCCATCTCTAAGAGGCAGAGAAAGCCCTTGGGTGGGAAAGGCAGGTGACAGGTATTTCCACTTGGTATTTTTTAATCCCCCTACTTAATGGGTACAAGAGAGTGAACCATGAGTGTAGAGCTTTGGTACCCCTTATTCCAGGGTTTAGGAAATATTTTCTGTTAAAGGCTGGATAGTAAATGTGTTAGGTGCAACTACTCTACTTCACTCTTTTTTTCCCCAGAAAGGCAGTCATAAATATCAAATAAGTCATAGGACTTGGCTGTATTTACCCTGCCAGTCACAGATTGCCTGCCACTGTCTCACATGATTGTATTATACCATTTTTTTCTGCATATAACATTTAAAAACAGTACCTTTCTTTCCATTAAGTTTATTGGTACATTTAAAGCAAACAATACAGTTACGTTTATCAGTGGCATTTGTACCTTTACATGATATATCTTCGTTCTTGTTTTTTTTCCCATACCTCTGCCCTCCCTTCACCCCCTTCACCCTTCCCTATTTACAAAGACTTTGTTTCCATTTTTTCCTTTTTTCACATTTCCCCCTTATTTCCTTTCCCCTTCCCTTCCCACTTCCCTTTTAGCCATTTTCTTCCTATTTCACACTCTCAATTATACCATTTAAACCTTAAAACCCCTTTTTAAAAAAAGCTGCTCTTATCAAGTACCTTCTAAGTGGCAGGCATCCCTTTCTCATTATTTTAGTTAGTCTTCACAATAAACTACTTTTAAGATAGCACTGTTCAATTTTGTTGCAACAGCACAGCCTCAATTTACTCACAGGTGTAGCAAAGGAGAGTAATTTCTCGTAGGCCATACAAATAGTAATGCTGGAAGCATGACTCAAACATGTGCTAGGTGAGTCCAATTTAATTTTTCTGAGTATTTATTGTCCTGTCTGCACAGTACTCATCTGTGGATTTTGTCCTAATGACTCACTTGTACTTTAAACACTACTGGCCATGCAGAAACACCTGTCTCAACTCTGCTTTTAAGTTTTCACATCATCCTTTTAAGATTGGAGTAAGTTCCATTTCCTGTCCTTTCTCCTTCTCCTTCCTGGGTGTGACATGTGGTGTGAATTCACTTCTTTCTCTCTCAGAGAAGCACTAGGAGTTTCCAAATCTGAGTTTTTAGTTATTTTTCCTCTTTTGAGTTTTCTTTCTCCTTATTCCTCCTTACTTTCTCACCTGTAATTGGCAATCCTGATGCTGCATTTCCTTTGTCCCTTTTCCTCATCCTTAATATTTGTTGTAGCACTGTTTAAAAAAAAATCCTTTGAGCATCCCTATCCTTGAAATCATTTGCTTTTTTCTTTGTGATGCTGAAAAATATATCTTTCTACAAATTTATGATAAAATACTTCTTTCCTAAAATGTCTGCTGTGTCTATATTTTCTACTCCCCGGTCATTACATAATCCAAGGTGATGTGGCCATTTCCTTCTAAGATGTTAATTTCACTTTTTTCAACCATTTCCTCTTTGTTGGCTGGAACTGTTTTCTATCTTCTGGTAGAGGTAGTTCTCAGTAAAACCACTCAGGGTTTGTGGGTGCTCTGGGAAAGTCTAG